TGGGACCCAATGTCAGCAGACAGCATGTTACTGCCCACTATCTGCTGACAGTGCAAAGCTGAACTGCAGCCAGGAAGGATCCTGACAATATTGTTCTAAGTATTGGGAAGAGTACATTTTACTTTCCTAATACTTCTCTTTTAAAATCCAATTATAAAGTTTTGGTAGTATTAAAGGAAACCTGTACTAAGAGCTATCTGTACACTAGGTTGTCCTCAATGTACTCAAGGCCGGTGCTAGGATTCGTGCCTACACAGGCAAGGTGCATTTTTGCGCCCCCCCTCCCCGACCCCCTGTAAAAACAGGGCATTGTACTTGTCAAAATGCCCCGATGTTTGCGCTATGTTTTTTTTTTTTTATACTCTTTTTTTAAATGCTAGTTGCATGTCTGTCATGCAGGTTCAGTTACTTCAACACTTTCAATAACTGACCCAGAAGAAGTATTTTGTTTCAGGTCACTGGCTTAGAAAGTATTGAAACCAGGAACAGTCAGGGGGTTAACATTGTCAAAATGAAGGCAACAACAGAAGTGTACATATCTTCTCTCAGTAAAGTTTCCTTTCATAAAAAATATGTGGCTGCCATCATTGACCTTCTTCTGAAAAGGCTAGTCTACTGTCTGCCTTTGGTCATATAATGTCAGTTGTTGGCCTGGAACATGTATACAGCCAGTATACATTATCGGCATACTTGTTTCAGTTTAATGACACATAAAATACTAAAGCCATTGGATCAGTATGACAGCCAGGCTACTAGCCATTTCAGGAGGATAGTGGACCTTAACTGAGAAGATTTGCTGTCTTATGGAGAATATCTAAGGAGGTTCATTGTCCCTAAGCAGTACCATGAAAAACAGCAGTGCCCATTCTGGTATGTGAGTGTGCCTAGGGACTCCTGTGCCTACAGCTCTATACTTGTATATCTGCAGTGTGAGGTCTAAGGCACTGCTGCTTCTGACTGCTAGTCTCAGCATGAGTGATGTCATTACTGTGCTGCTTATTGTTCTCCTTGCCGGAGAGCAAGCTCTACCTTAGGACCTGCGGTACAAGGATCTCCCTGCTTCTGCTTCATCAATTCTGCGGATCTGTGCTTCCCCGCCTCTCTTGCTGCTTCTTGAATATTCCTCTACCAATCAGATTGCTAACCCTGCTTCTAGCAAGATGGCCACCTCCACATAGATACATAGCAGGGAGCCTATAGGCAATACCGGTATCTAGTCCTGTGCCCTTAGCCTGTCTTTTATGGGCACAGCTTACCCAGTTCAGATCCTCTAAGTAATAGCAGCCTATATATGTGTCACTGTACAGGTTTCCTTTAAAGGAGAAGTACTGAGAGAGAAAAATGTACTCTTCCCAATACTTAAAGCCACGTGTGACACTGCAGATGTCACATGCTGGCTTTATAGTTCAAGAAGTGATCAATCACAAACCGCTGATCGCGCAGCTCACGGACTTCTCCCCACTGGGATTCCTCCCTCACCTTTCTGTTCCTCCAGCGCTCATTGGGGCTCTGTGCTGTCAGCAAATTGTAGGCAGTTCATTCATTAATTTCTCAATGGGGAGAAGCACTCACTACAGAGGCTCCTCCCCATTCAGAGACTTCTGATTAGTAAATATTTTACTATCAGGAGTTTCTGAATGAATGGGAAGCCTCTGTACTGAGAGCTTCCCATTCATTGAGTGCTGAGGCTGCAGAAAAAGACATTGAGGACTCTGTGTCCTCAATGTCTTTTTCTATTTCAAAAGGGAAATGTCAGGGATCTGTTTAGACCCCTAATATTTCCCTGAAGCCCCCCCATCCCCCCAACAGTAAAAAATTATAAATAATTTAAAAATAAATAAATGTGTAAATAAAATTGTTGAAAAAACACAAACCCCCCCTG